CCACGCGAATCAATGACGGGAAGTGTACAATCGAGATATAGGATTTTTTCAAATTTTTGAAATTTGAGAAAAAATCAGGCGCTTCATTCATCAATTATATAAAAATAATGAAAATGAGAGACCAGCTTCGCCAGAGTTTGCAGCTGGGAAACACGTAGCGACACGAGTGGCGCGGTATAGTTGTTTCCATTAGCGAAATATCCAATTTATTACGGGAGCAAAGGCGGCCAATCGGTGACCGCGGTCGTAATAAACGTAATTATATTTAACGTGGCGCATAAAAGCGTCGATAGATTAGAGGCCTCTCCTTTTCTGTGCTCCCTTCTCTTCTCTGAGCACGTTTCCAGCCGCGATCTGTCTCGCTCGCGCGCTCCGCAACATGTAGCTATCCATCCCGTTCGCCGGATGGCGCGGCTTGGCTCGCGTAATTAGAATATCAATTAATAATCGGGATTAATTAAATCCGCGATTATCGATGCACGTCGTGATGCGACGTGAGCTTTCGTCGTCCGCGCAACTGTGTGTGCGCATACGGCTATGCCGAAGATGGGGACGAGTAGATTAGCTCGCGCTAATGGTGTATACGGCTCATGTCACTTTTTTGTCCTTGATGAATCCAATGACATTTGTCACGCGCATTTATTACACCGTTGTCGTCGTTACATTAATTATCTCGCTCGTAGCTCTGTGTGTAACCGGTCCGCAATTGATACCAAAGTTAATTTCCTTTTGAGACGGACGTCTCAGATTTATCGTGAATATCGCGGGACATAATTTACATAGATAGACAATTATTTGTAACAGTTTCTCTCTCTCTCTATATATATATATTTATATGATTGACCATTCATGCAAATTATAGCATGTATATGTATATTATTATGCTATGTATACACACACATACACATATACATGTATATATACATAACTGCAGTATATTTTATACATATTACTTTATATATAGCTGTAATAGCTATATATAACTATCCAGTAGAACACAAACTAAGTAGCATTACATCAATATTATAATTTTCCACTCAAAAATATAAATGTAATATAACGCATGTGATAGACATAATAATAGTTAATTTATTGAGTAGGAATTATAACATTGATGTAATGTTATTGTTAATTTGTATTCTGCTGATGTGTATATGTATATATATATATGTACAAATATGTATGTAGCGCTACATTCAACTTATCGTTGAACGTAAACGATCTTGGTGATTTATGATCAGTTATGGGCAGCACATGCATAATGAACTCACGATGCATTGCTGTTCCGATATTTGTTGCGTTAAAATTAGAAAATTCTATTTGCAGAATTCTATTCCGGCTATAGGTAATACTCCGTGCAGAGTTGTTAAATTCTACCTTTGATGCGCGAATTATTTATTTCCCGTTAACCCTCTTCGGCTGGTATTTCATTCATTTACTACTTCACTCTACGGTGAAGATAAAATTGTAACTTATACAAGATGGCGAAGTTATATCTCTTGCGAAATCCTTTCCTCCGTTCAAGAATAAACAACCAGATCTTCGGGTAAACTGAAAATTATGATGGAGGATGATACAGATTTAATCTTTCCGGAAATGTGTGTTGAGGATCATATTAGTCAAAGAAGCAAAGTTCGATGATATTGAAATCAAGAAGTATCGGAATAAAAACTTGTAAATAAGATGGCAATCGAAAGTAACGATCAACGTCCATGCGTTTCGAGCCAGGATCAAAGCCACCATTTCGATGAGGAATTTCACCGCGCGTTAGAAATCTTTCGATGAACACGCATCTTCGTGATGCAGACGAGCGGAAAAGCGTCCGTCGATCTCGCGAGATAACAAGTACGCATCCGGCCGCGTTCACTTGCGCGTTACCTGCGTTAACTTGGATCCTCGCTTACCTGGCCGCGGCAAATGCAGGATAAAGGCCGAGCACGCTCTCGCCGGTGCCTACCTTCTAGGCACGTAATTGAAGCTGCTCCCGGAATAACGCGCCTAAGTGACAGGTGAACACCTTATACGCGAAGCGCGTACCCGTGACAGTCGTACATACGCACTGTGTGTCCATCCGACGGTTCACGCGTCTCTTTAGAGGGACGAAATATAAAAGCCAGGTACACGGCGGAGGGAATAAAGTGTAATCTTGGCAGTACGAGACGAAACTGTAGCCAATCAGCAGGCGAATATGACTGAGGAATCAAATATGCGGGAGAAGTAGAGAAGTACTTTGATGGAAGTACTTTAATGCGATCCGATTGGAACTAAATTACCAGGGTATTCCTGCAGGAAAAGAAAAATACTGCACCTCCGTCGACAGTCGTCGGTCATTGCGAGTAAAGTTCTACGACCGTGTGTCCGATTCCGAACAGTTTCATTAATTCATTAACGGTTAATTAAGGTTTCACAGACGAGATTTTCGACGGGGATTTGAGATAAAGCGTGCGAGGGATCCAACCGACCGGCGTCGGATCATTTTCTCGTTGATCTCCGCTCATTTCTGACGCCTGACACCGACAGGGGTGAATTCCCAATCGCGTGTTACCGTCGTGCATTAAACTCCGCGGGGTGATATATCAGAGTATAAATCGTCGAACGTGTTGGAAGCTTTTATAGGATTTTTACAACGTGCGCATCCGTGAAATACTAGCGTCGATGGAGGGCACAGAGAGAAAGACAGAGGTTGCAGTTGCGAGGGGTGAGGAGCGGTTAAACTGAGTGTAAATCCAGGTATCGTTGGTGTGAGCGGAGAAAAGGGGAGAGAAAGAGATAGACTGATAAAAAGGGAGCGAGAGAGGGTTGGTTCGCGGCGGGGATGAAGCGTCTGGCTCATCCTGGGGGATACAGCGTGCGGAAGGGGATGCCCGGGTTTTCGCGTGCGTGCAGATCCGCCAATCGGGATTCAGGACCGCCTGCGATCGCCATGGCAACCCCGGGGGTTGACAGGAGGCGATTACGAAACGGGGGTAACCCGATTAAGCGTCGCGACGCCGCTCCTGGAGACGACGTCTGGGGACGTAACGGGGTGACTTTCAAGAGAAGGGGAGGAGAAAGGGTAGGCCCAAAAGTATGGTCTGTTCGAAAGGGGTTGTTCTCTCTATTTGTCCTCTTAATCACCCGTTAAGTGCTGCGACCCCAATGTAGTCCCCCGGGCACGCAGCAACGAGTTCGTCCCTGCTTTTTCGCGTCTCGATTGGTCAATGGTAAATAACAACCTTGAGATGGTCCCGAAGGGTGAGATATTTAATGTTGGCTTAAAGGTGAAATATTTCGATTTGGGGTGTTATTTAAATCATTTAGATTCAACGTGGCTCGAGAGCAATTCAAGGATTCATTATAACAGTAACTTAGCCAACTTTCTTTTTTTTTTTTAATATAAAGAAATGAATTGCTTTGATTTAAGTTCACTTGTGTTAATTAAAATCTTACTAAAATTTATTATTACTTATATAATATATTATTTTAAAAAGTTAGCGATTAAGCTAAATTAAGTAATTTCTGTATAAAAGCAATGGCGTATCTTCAGTGTATCTTCATTGTATCTTTAATAAAATATTTATAAAAGAGTTCAATATGCTGATAACGAAAGAAATTTTTAATAATATAATAAATTTATGTTATTTATCTCATTCATATTGTAATTTTCCATAATGGCCTCGAAATTGTGAAATCATACGCTTCGTTCATCTCGCTGCTGAAGTTCACCGTGTTGGAAGCTAATCTGGGTCTTGTCAAAACCGCCCAGCCATCCGAGACGTTAGACAAATATCCCCGTTTCAACCCTCGATCCACCCCTTTTACCGCGCGTGTGTGTCCTTTCGTGTCATAATGCTGATTTTCCGCGTAGATAGCTTCAAAATGGAGCCTATTCAACCCTTTTCTCACGAGCAGCGCGTATATCTAACAGTCAATTCCAGGACAATGTCCCGATCGAGTTTGTCGTGATCCCCTTCTCTACCCGCGTTTCGTCCCCTTTTCTTCCAGAGCCCAGCGACACGTACCATTGTAACCGGATACTCCCGTTTAGGGGTGGCTCCTTGATACATCGGGGGGTTGACCGGGCTTATAACTAGTTGCCACTTAATTTGGCAAACCTGGCAAGAACGAGGGGTTCGATCCCCCCCTGTTTCTCGACGGAGGGATTGGCCCGCTGAGATCGATTGGCGGATACGTCGGTATTCGCTGGGGACGGCCACTCTCGAATTACCTCTCGTTGAATGTCGCGTATCTTCTGCCTCCATCGGGTTCGTCGGAGAATTATCTTCTGCGGCGTGTTCCCTCCACCGAAACGATCAGAAATCCTTAACTACACTTTCTCTCAATAGCTCCTACTTATCATGAACAAAGTATCTTGAAATATCCAAGCTCATTTAATAATCACGAATTTTTGAACTTAATTATTTATGTTATTTTATGAAGTTAGATCTGATTTATATAAAGTGGGTGTTTCTGCTTTGCAAGATGACAAAAAAATTTAAGATTTTCATTAGTTTGCTATACTTGCTACTGAAGTTTTACTGGCTGCCTGGAGCAATTTATCTGATGAAAAAAAATGCATGGCCTTTGACGCGTTTCCAAAACACTTTAAAACTTGTATCAAAACTAAAAGTAGCCATTTTGAATGTTAATTATTATTTTTGGCATTTGATAGAATATAATTAACTCTACAGTTTGTTTTTTGTAAATATATGTTAATGATGATTTGATAAATACATAACTTTGTGGCCAAACTTTTTTGCCATTCTATAAATGTTAATTTTCATAACGATTTTTACAAAATAAAGCATAGGTGATCTTAATCACGCTCCGTACTTACAATTTTGTATAACTATTTTTTGTTCGAGGTAATTATTTTCTGATTCATCTTTTTTGAAAAGGATTTTAATTCACAAGCGTATGTATCTTAGTCTACTACGATTATTATCGTAATAATTGCGTTAACAGGATTTCACGTTAGATTTCTGAAAAGTTAATCGCAACAATATCATTGATGATTTCAGGTGAAAGTATGGTTCCAGAATCGGCGGACAAAACACAAGCGGATGCAACAGGAAGAAGAGGCGAAGGCCCAACAACAATCGGGTGGTGGAGGTGGTGGAGGCGGAGGCGGTGGTGGAGGTGGTAATGGAAATGTTAACAACAATAGTAACAACAAAAACACGCATCATGTCAGCAAATGGCAGCAGGAGACCGGCGATTATCATCACGAGGAGGAGGATGAAGAGGAACACATCGATCCGGAAGCTGAGGAATGCTCAAGCGGCTCCGAAGCGTAGCTAGACGTTCTCTGCCTGGATTAGGATCCAGGATCGAATAAACTATCCTGCACAGACTTCGAGGAGAGACCGAAAAAGATGGAGGTCATACAATGAAGTCATCCAAGGAAGAGAATAGCGCGACATCAACTAATCGACTTAGGTTTGTTCGAGTTCGTCATCGAGCATCGGAGGATTAAATTTACTTCGAAATGTCTACGATCGTGTTAACGTTATGCGCAGGAAGCTAATAGCAATGAGTAAATTGCCATGGAATAGTAACAACGCGGCGTTTTTCACATCAAATTACGGTCGAAGCTTCGGGTATGAGTCCGATGTACAAAAGAAAAATCAGAAGGTTCGGAAATCGTGACAGCGACTGGCGACGGTACGGTACTCACCATATTGCGACTGAAAGCGTGACATCGTGAATACGAAAATATTTGAGTTGCTTGTCGAATAAAAGATCTAGGTTCGATTACTACACTTGCCATCTCGAATATCGACACTAAGAATTTTGAGTGGGGAAAATATTCCACTTTAATTCAAACAAGCGTACGAGACGTGTATTTTCGTCTCTCTCTTTCTCTTTCTCTCTCAAGTCCGTTATTTCTTGTCAGAGTGGTGACCTTTTCTGCATATATTCACGGAATTTACAGTTTTTAACGCCGATTCCGAACAGCCTATTGAAAGAAGGCAAAGATACTCTCTCGGTAATTTGCCATTGCTTTCTGAGAAATAATGATCAAATGAAATTTGATACATGCACTGTTAAAAATATCATGAAATTTAATGTACTTTTAAGCAGGGAATGGAAGCAACTAGTTACTGTATCTGCCGTTACTTAGTTACTTAATTACCTTGTTATAACGATTTAGTAATGATGTTGCGAAATTTTTATGATGTAACACTAGAATTGAAACAATTAATAGGTACTTATAACGGATTTGAAAAGTCATTCGTTATTGAATAAAGTAACTTGTAACTCATTTTTGATGTAATTTGTAACGGAGTAACTTTACGGCATTACTCGTTTTTTCAATAAGTAATGCGTAATGGTAACAATTTACTTTTCAAAATGACTTTCCTAACTTTAGCGTAACTTTAGCGTTTAATTAGTCATCATTACAATCATAAAAAATTGCAGTATCAAATTCTTATTATAAAAAGTAACTGTAAAAGTAACGGAAAAGTAACTCTCCTATTCCCTGCTTTTAAGTTACATAACTTGGAATTTAATTTTATGACATTACATTAAATTTAATTACATTACATTAAATTTAATGTACTTGCAACTGAAAAGTATATTTGTGTACATATGTACATGAAATGTAATGTACTTTCCATAAAATTTTATGTGAAATTTTGCATGAAATTTAATGCACATGTTCATTACATTTAAGATTATTGTGTAACTTAGTTTTCCATTAAACCATTCATTACTTTTCAGTTACTTCATAACTACAAGCTTACAGTTACTATGTAACTACAAGTTTACAGTTACTACAACCGTTACTTAAATTCATTACGAAATTTTTAACAGTGTTCTGGATTTGAATCTTTGGCACAGAGAGCAACTATGCAACTCTCTACAGCACGCATTTTCATGCAAATGTTTATAAAACTGGAAAGTACCGTTGTTTATATTTTTTTTTTAATGGAGAATAGTTGACAACAGTTAATTGTAAATCCCAAAGAGAGAGACAAAATCTTTTTAACGTGATCGAAAAAAACTTGTTAAGTTTTATTCTGAACTTGTGCCTGATGAATCGACAGAGTAAATATATCTAGAGTTCTTTCATTAATATTTTTGAAACGTATGTCATATTTCATGTGTTTTGAGGTACAAAAATAGGATCTCAAGTATTGCTCACTGCTTAATATAATTCTTTTATAATCATGATTAAACGCAATGATTTCATATATATCGCATACAGAAATTTAATATTGGAAGTAATTAATTACTTATTTTGAATATTCGTCGGAAATCAATTAATGGAGGCACTGTTGTTTAGTGCTTTTAATACTTAAAGTAAGTAATTTTCAATAATAAACAATTATACTACGAATTTGGACCGATGAAAATAAATCTAATTAAATAAGAGAAATCCTATATTCAGTCAGAGCGGATCTTAATGCTTAAATATTTCCATGTGAATTTATATTCATATCTTCTGCAAATCGCGCGCTGAAATCTTTTTTGATCTTCAAACGCAATTATGAACAGAATCAGATATGTATATAAAAATTCACACAGAAATATTTAAGCTAAAATCTGCTTTAAATATAGGATTTCTCTTATTTAATTAGTTTTAATAGTAATTTGACCAGTATTAAATCGAGTTTCTGTAAGAGATGTACATAAAACTATATACGAATACAGAAAATATATGATAGAAAGTGCATAAGATATTGATGAAATGGGCTCTATATCGCATGTTTATTCGACAGACGAGGCAGGAGTATCTCTTTTATTCTCTTTTCTTTCGACCGGAATCACGACATAGTTCCTTAGGATCTCAGTTTTGCGGCGTTGCCGAAGGCGAGGGTACAATCGCGGAAATCCGTAAATATCGTTTCGATTAGGACGAGGATAGGACGAGGCGTTTCTCAAGCCAAACTATCTTATAACGGGTTCGAAAGAAGCGACGGAGAAATCGAAGACTTCATCGGAAATCAACTAATGGAGGTATTGTCTGCCGGAGACGACGAAGCTAAATGGACGCGCTTCCGGCGGAAAGCGACGACGCTCGTATCGAGGACGATCGATGCCAACTTTAACAAGACGGATAATTTTTTGATTGACTGGTCGATTCGAAACTGTAGAAATTTTTGTAACTCTGTGGGGAGAAATACTTTTAAAAACTTATTGTCTGTTTCTTTGCTTCATGAATTTTACTTTAATTAACTTTAGTTAGAAAGTCGCTCGCAATGGCTATTCAGAAAGTTGCACGCAATGTGGTTCAAAGTGATTTTTAAAATTTAGAAAACGGCTTGAGATGAGGATCGATCGTCCGCAATATGTCGAGATGGTGTGCCGATCGCCATCGGCGCGCGTCATTTACGTTCATTGCAATTACATATTTCTTGCCATAAAAACAATTCGCCATAAAGACTAACTTTCCTCGGGTGATGTAAATAAAGTGTAGCTGGAGCGCAGTCTTGGAGCCTTTCCCAGAAGTATCCTGACGCCTTGCATTTCGAGGACGTGAGTGTAAATAGATAAACTGATACGAGGAATACGAGATGCACTGAATGCATGTGTTCATGCAGAACCGTAAGTAAAAACTTGACAGAGAGTGCCAAACTTCGTAAATCCTTAGCGATACAGGAATCCGGTAATCTGTATTTATAGTTACTGTATTTACAGTTGTATTTAAGTCGTTATTCTACGAGCGAGCAGTATTTCTTTCATCGATCGATGTTTCGAGATATGTACTGACAGTTTAAATTATTATTGCTAATGTTATATAGACGGAGAGTCCCTGCGCCATAACGAAGCTGTCGTAGTAATAAAATATCTATTTTCGGAACTTTCAATCTCCGAATCGTGATATTGATATATCGATATATTTTGGTTGGAACAAAATTTCGTAAAAAATAATGTTAAACAAAGAATTTCTTGGAACTGTAAATGTGATTACACAACAAGTAAGGAATAAATACCTTTAACGGTCAAACTGGATCTTAAATGCTTAAATTCGGTGTGAATTCATGCCGAGTGTCTCGAATTTAAATGGCCAAATATTCGGAAGTTGTAGGGAATCGATAAAATAACAAAAAAAGTTCTTTAGAGATATACTCGTTTTTGTTTCATTTTAGAGAAAATCGCAATAAAAGACAAATCATGAGTTTTGGAATATTATTGTTTTCAAGGAGGAATATTATTGTTTTCGTGTACGACTTTAGCGATAATGCTTCAGAAGCAGTGCGAGAACATGCGCGCATATTTCCATAGAGAAGCGTGCCAGATCGGCGAGTCATTACGTTGAGCAGATCAGTATTTGGCTATCTAATATAGTCATTTAAACTGCATGCCGAATTGACTTTTCAATTTTGAAACGCAAATTTGATTGAACTACAGTAATATCACAAATTAAATTGACAAGCAGTTTAATAATTTGATACTCATAGGCATTTTAAAAAGATTTTAATGATGCTGAATAACACATACAGTGAGTGCAAAAGTATCCGTACAAGAAAATTTTTTATTAAAAAAGCCTTATTTGTAGAAAATAAACGTTAATTAGCAATTTTATACAATGAATACATTCTGTTCTAACATAAACAAACAAACTTTGCGAGTATTTCTGATCTTAGAAGTTAAATTTTTCAACTGTACGAATTCTTTTTGAGCATCCAAATAATATAATTTTTAACTTTTGCTTATATTTTTGAAATGATATATTTTCTATAATTACTGCACATCTTTTTGGTATATATAATTTTGAGAAACATACAATTAATTTTATTTTTTATGAATAAATTGTTAATTGTTCAACAAGAAATGACCGTCGATTAGTCGTCGAATTAATGTTGAAATTATCGTATCGATATCGACGCGACTTTAATTTAATGAATCATTTCTCGCTGGATAATGTTTATTTTTTAAAAATAAGATTTAAAAAAAATATTTCCTTTGTACGAATACTTTTTGCACTTACTGTATAAAGTTCTGTAAATTTTATTGTAAAAAATGTTTGTAAAAATATTTTAAAAATTTTAATAATAATTTTAATGATCATTCGATAAAACAAAGTTTCAACTTTTTAAGAATTTGTTTTTTTTTAAATTACGATAGTTTTTAACGAAATTATGAGAAATCAAAGTTTAAAAAATAATTATTTTCCTTATTTTATTTAATCTCTGCAATAATAGTAGTAGTAATAGTAATACATAGTAGTAGTAGAGCAGTAGTAGTAGTAGTAATAGTAATAGTAATAATAGTAGTAATGACGAGGAACCATATTAGTCCTTATATATATACATTATGTTTGAACTTAGTCAATAGGCGGTATTCATAGTTCGTTCTTATTTTAAGACCGTCTTAAATAATGTCTTAAGATGCTAATACAGTCTGATTGGTTCATGACATCTTAAGACTGTATTTAAGACTGTCTTAGATATAAGATTCTATGAATACCGGCTATAGAATCACCTAGAAATCAGAAAGATGTCACTATTACTACTAGATCTGAAAGAGTTCTTTTGTGATTCCTGCTTACAAAATTTTTCTGTATATACTGAATTTGTGGGGTTTGTGAACTTGCAACCTATCGGTTATGAGTTCGCTCTCACATGGAGTCACACGACGAGCCCTAATTCGCGATGACTTAGTACCAAAAAATCTTAGAAAAATTTTAGAAATCGAGTTTGTAGGAAAAACTTTTAATATGAAGAAGAACGTCAACCTATATATCACGATCAAAGTTAGAATAATACAATACATATTCATTTTAAATATTCATTTTATTTCACAGATAAGATTGAGCGCCGATAACTTTCAACAATCAATCTGAAACGCTACTAGTCTCCCCCTAAATTAAA